GTGCCCCTTCTTAACACCCTTGGGTGCTGCATAGCACACTGTGGGTAGAGGCTGCCAGACTCTGCCCCCGCTCCATGCCCTCTGCCTCAGGCCACCCGTTGTTATTCAGTGTCCTTGGGAGTGTGTGATCTTCAGGACAAGGCCCTCCATTTCACTTTAGTTCAGATTCATTTGTTGATCCTTATGCATTGGACCCAGGTTGTTCTGGGCTCAGGACAAAGACAAAGGCCGTGTCCTTGTGGAGCTGACAGATGCCAGGTCACAGGCAAGCACCAGGCAGTATGAGGGTCAGAGGTCAGAGAAAGGGCTGTGAGACTACAGGATAGTCAAGGGCAACTCTGTGAGACAGTGTAAGGGTAGAAAGCTGAAAGATTTAAGAAAGCGGAGAGCTTAAAGGGCCTTTAGGCAGAAAATTACAGGGTATTCTAGAATAAGTAGGAGGCCATGCTGGTGGGAAGGTGGGGTGAATGTGACAAGGTAATGGGAGAGGGAACTTTTTAAGTTGGGGTGGGAATGGTGCTCAGAGTTTCCCCAGTTGGCAGATGTTGTGGTGTCTGAGGCAGAAGACCAAAGCCATCTGGTTTAGTTTTCTTTTATGCATGTGAAACTTGTGTGTATTCGAGTATGTACCAGTGTGTGGTTGCATACACTTGTGCATGTGGAGAACAGGAGTCGATGACCAGTAACTTTTTCTAGCACTCTACACCTTATTTGGAGTGACAGGGTCTGAAAGCCGCAGGGATCCACTTGACTCCTCCCCTTCATCATTGTGTTATAGAAGTACCACACCACTTTCTCCATGGGTGCTAGGGGTCTGAACTCAAGTCTTCATTTATGTGCATCAAGCAGCTTACCCGCTGAGCATCTACCCAGCTGTGGCTTAGTTTCCTTAAGGATACTGTAATACTAAACTAGAAAGTTCCTTTTCATACAAACACCCACATACTCTCACGCATGTATACACAGTTTCTTTGTTACAGAAGGTCACTGGGCAGGACAGAAAGTAAGGGGACAAGTTGGTAGAAGGGGTTTTGCTACTGGTCCAGGGGAGAGATGGCTCTAGCTGTGGCATAGCAGAAGAACCAATGAGATTTAAAAAAAACTAAATTGAGCCAGATGTGGTGGCGCACACCTTTGATCCCAGAACTTGGGAGGCAGAGGCAGGTGTATCTCTGTGAGTTCAAAGCCAGTCTAGTCTACATGGTGAGTTCCAGGCCAGCTGGGGCTACAGGGAGACCCTGTCTCAAAAAAAAAAAAAAAAAAAAATCAACTTGATATCATTATACCCATTTAAATATTATAATTTGATGCTCATATACAATATTCAGTGGTCAGAGAAGTGAGAGCTTGATGTTCAGATGTGGCAGTGTCTGCTGGCAATCATTGAAATCCTAGAGGCTGAGCCTGACTTTCTGAAGGCCCTCCTGCCCCACAGCCTGTGTTGATGTGGCTGTTCTCCAGCAATTGCAGGCCAAGGAAAATATGCTCCCAGCCACCCCACCTTTTCCTCTGCCCCTCCACAGCCCATCCATGGCCTTCTGTGCTGTTTTATTTTTTATTTTATTTTATTTATTTTTTTGAGACAGGGTCTCCCTATAGCCCCAGCTGGCCTGGAACTCACTATGTAGACCAGATTGACTTCCATTTCACAGAGCTCCTTCTGCCTGTGCCCCCTAAATGCTGGGATTAAAGATGCGCACCACCATGCCTGGCCTTGTGTGTGTCTGTGTGTTTGTATGCCTGAGTATGTCTCAGGTGAAAAGGTGCCTGCAGAGAGACAGAAGAAGGCATTGGGTCCCCTCAAGCTGGAGTTACAGTGAGCCACCCCACATGGGTGTTGGGAACCAACTTGGGTCCTGTGGAAGAGCTGCAAGTGTTGTTTACTGTTAAGCCATTACCCAGACCCTTCCATGGCTTGTCATAAGGACCCATCACTCATTCTCTGAACCTGTGTTTACTCATGTTTGGACTTTGTGCCAGCCGCAGAAGGTGGGTCCTAGCTGTACCGCCCCCCCCCATGGTTCATTGTGAGGAAAAACCATTCCGTATTTCTGAAGTGCCTAGCACACAGATCATGCCCTGTAATTGTTTGTGTTTGGTACTCCTACACAAGCTGAGTAGCTTCTAGATAGACTGGTGGGCTGTGGTTTATAGGGAAGAGAGAGGCTCCTGTGTGCTGACGCATTGTCTTCCTAGAGCAGAGCAGTTGGGCAGTGCTGGAAAAGACTTCAGCTCCCAGCACAGTCCAGTCGCTGGTGGTCCCTAGGCCAGAACCTGAGTTTGGGGTTGTTTCTAAGGCCACTTACATCCTCGCCTGTTCTTTTGTTATTTGTTTTGTTATTTTGAATTTTGAGGCAAAGTCTTATGTAGTCCATACAGGCTTGGAACTTGCTTTGTAGCCAAGGATGATCTTGAACTCTGATCCTCCTGCCTCCACTTACCAAGTGCTAGGGTTACAGGAGTGTGCCACGATGCTCAGTTTAGGTATATGTGGTACTGGGGATTGAACCCAGACCTTCATGCATGCAGGCAAGCACTCTTATCAGCTGAGCTGTACCCCAGCCTGTCTGCCTGTTTTCTTGCAATGATTACTACTTACCTGTAAACACTCAGATACTGCCAGTTACAAGGTGACTCCTCAGACAGGTGCTCCTGCAGGCTGTGGGGCAAGGACTGTCCAGGTGCCCCCTGCCGCAGGTCTGTCCTCTGCCTGTGGGGGGATCCCTTATGACTGAGGCAACTGTACAATATTTTCATGAACAGTCATTTCAGATCATACTTGGGATAAAATAATTATATGTTTCCGGCTCCAGCAGAGCTTAGCACCGACTTGATATTTTTACCTATTCAGACACAGCAAAGTGAAGACTTTCCACCAGTCCTTGGCCACTTGTTAAGACTATCCTTCCCTCCCTCTGAAGTCCACTCCTGAGTCCTCATCCCACATGATGCATCTGTCCTCACTGCCCCTGCCAACCACATGTGGTCTGTAGCTGTGGGGATGACACTTTGCCTCTGTGGTCCACTGTCACTTCCTTGCCCCAGTGGTGGGACCCTAGGCTGACCAGACCTGTGAGGACTTTGTAGATTAGAACATGGAGAGGGAAGTGCATTCTGGGTCATCTTCCAAGGCTGAGCATTGTCGGGGTGGGTCTCAGGTAGCAGAGGGGCAGAGTGATCAATGGAGTAGTAGATGCATGGCTGCCTGGGGATGGGGGCAGGACGGCAGAGGGGGTGATGGGATATCATCCTTTTATATTTTGCTTTTTGCAGTACTGGGGCTTGAACCCAGGGCCTTGCCAAAGCTAGGCAAGTGCTGTCCCACTGAGCTGCATCTACAGCCCACTTTTTACTTTGGATTTTGAGACGGGATTTCACTAACTTGCCGGAGGTGGACCTGAGACCACTCTAACGCAGGCAGGCCTTGAATTTGCAATCCTCCCGCCTCGGTCTGGTAAACAGCTAGGAATCTAGGCCTGTGCCACACACACCCAGCTGGTGTAATATCTTGATTTTATTGGTTCTTTCCTGGGTGTACACACACATCAAAGCATTAGATTGGGGCTGAGGGTATAGCTTAATGATGGATCACTCACAGAGCACCCACAAGGTCCTGGGTTCTATCCCCAACACCACCAAAAACAAAATATCATACTTCACACTTGAAAAAGATGGGCATTTTGTTGTATGTCCACCATCTCCTCTGAGTGGTCGTTTTTACAAATGGCTGGCAGAGGGTCTTGTAGACGGCCAGATGCAGTTGCCCTGGCCTTCATTTCCAGTCAAAAAGGTCTTAGAATGCAGCACCCTATAGACCCTGCCCCTCTCCTGCCTTTGTATGGTTGAGTTCCCCACGCATCTACCTCCCTCCAGCTGTGCAAATATCAATATCTAAGCATTTGGTTCCTTGCCCTCCTATGGGCTCCTCATTTACCATGTGGGTTAGGGGGAACCCAGATCTCATAGATTTTCTTCCCCATAAGCTACCAAGCAGAGTCACTGTCCAGTGCTGGGGTGCACCTCAAGAGTCAGGAGAGACTGCAGATTGTGGGAAGCCTGTTCAAATACACTCAGACAGGAGCTTTATCTGTTCAGACTCTGGAAGTCAGGGTCCCAGGGGGAGCACCAGGGGCTATCCCTCACTTACTGTTTTAGTTTTTGTTGACTTCTTTCTCATGCAGCCAGAGGACAGAAAGAACCCCTCCCTTAGAACTGATCCAGGACAAGTTCCAAGTACAGCTCTCTCTGGTTGGCCCTGGGAGCCAGGGGTGGCTCTGTCCAAGCCAGACAGTGTGGCAGGGGGGAGGGGTGGAGAGGAAGCCGGGTTCTGGAAGAGGCAGGCACAGGTGGAAGCAGGGAAAAGCGCAGACAGCCCAGCACCCTGGGGATAAAACCAGTTCAGTTAAATGTTTGACTAAGGATCTCCACATGCTTCCAGAAGTCAAAAGTCTACACAGACATCTTCCTTGAGTAGCCTTTTGCACTGGCCTACCCCTCATGCTGGCCAGCTTCACTGCGTTCATTTTTCTCTCCTGCGTTTCTTTTTATAAAGATATCTAGACATGCATTGGTTTTGTTTCCTCCTTCCTTCCTTCCCTGTGCTCTTTTGTGGTTGTTTTTATTTTTCTCTTTTTTAAAAATTAAATTTATCTGTGGGCTGGGGTTGGGGGAGCTGTGTAAACACATGCCACAGTGCACATATAGCGATCAGAGGACAACTTCCAGGAGTCCAGTCCTTCCTTCTGTCACGTGGGTCCTGGGGATCAAACTCCGATGGTCAGGCTTGGTGGCAAGTACCTTTACCTACTGAGCCATCTCACTGGCCTGTTTTTCTTATTTAAGAGAAAAGGCATTTTGACCAGCTTCACTGATGCTCCTTAGCAGTACAGGTTGGCATGCTGACATGGGTTTGAAGGGACAGAGTGACTGCTGTGCCCCTCTGCTGCCGAACAGTTCGGTCATCTGAATTCTAAGTGAGTTTCTCCCCTCTTCCAATTCAGATGGGGGCAGCCATGCCATCCAAGACTCCCAGGTCCCCAGTCTGGTCTCTGGGGCCGACAGTTCACCCTCCAGTCCCAGTGGACACAACTGGGAGATGAATTATCAAGAGGCAGCAATCTACCTCCAGGTGAGTGCCTTCAGTTCAGTGAATGGAGAGGTGCCAGGTGTGAGGGTGTGGGGGTGCAGGGTGAAAGGGCCGTGCGGCCAGGGTGCTGGTAGATGCCCCAAAGTGCAGCTCTGCTGGTATGGCTGTCCCTCCTCCACACTGGAAGAAGGGGACAGCTGATATGCTCGTGCTATAGGGGAGCATGTGTGCCGGCCCCTTCTGAGCCCCCAATTTGAGGTCTCCCACCTACCCCTTCAAGCCTTTCCTGTGCTGTCTTCCCAGGACCACACCCACAGGCTCAGGGAACATTCTGTCTGTTTCTCCTACAGTAGGCTCTGTCCACACAGCCTGGGCCTTCAAGGACCTTCCCATGTGTCTGCTGCTGTCAGCCCTAGTTTTTGCTTGTTTGGGGATATTTTCCTTTTTGAAAAAACCATACTTTTCTCTAAAAGTATTAAATGCTTGTTATTATGAATTCAGACACAGAGAACAAATGAAGAAACATGTAGGGCAGTCTCAGCCAACGTAATTTCTTTCCCTTTAAAAAAATTTTCTTGGCCTTGCGTGTTGGTGCATGCCTTTAGTCCTAGCACTTGGGAGGCAGAGGCAGGTGAATCTCTAAATTCAAGGCCAGCCTGGCATACATAGTGAGTTCCAGGCCAGCTGGGGCTACAGGGAGACCCTGTTTCAAAAAGACCAAATACTTTTTTTTCCTTTTGGTACAGGGTCTCCCTGTAGCCCCAGCTGGCCTGGACTCATTATGTAGACCAGGCTGGCCTCGATCTCACTGAGATCCACCTGCCTCTGCCTCCCGAGTCCTGGGATTAAAGGAGTGGCCACCACTCTTACTACTCTGCCTGTCCTTCCAAATTAAAAACAACAACAAGAGAAAACAGTACAAAGTCAGGTACCCATCTGAGTTCTAGCTCCTTAGGAGGCTGAGGCAGGAGAATCTCCTAAGAGTACCAGG